GTGTTTATAGGAAACAGGAAAGCAGGTTGTCACTGCAGTTGTTCTGTCTTACTGCTGTGGGTGGTAAGAAGGAACTGAGGGACAGCTGGCTCCATGGAGCTCTTTACGCCCTCTGATGGGAATGTGCATAAGGGGAGGATGTACTGGCCAAAAGAATCTTTTAGGCTCATGCACACCAAAAACAGAATCTGTGCGGATAATCACTCACAGAAGAAAGGTTAATTGATACTGAATGTGGTCAGAGTCTTACTAGTACTAATGTAGCATTCATAATAGAATGCCAGGTTTATCTCTACCTGCACTCTGTCTTCAAGGAATAGCAAGAAAGATATAGAGTGACAGAGTCACGTTAAATATTACTTTAAACAGACTACTGATCTTCCCTGTGTAATTAGTAGTACCTAAACATTTTCACTTTTAATAGTCTTAAGAGCTAGTTTATTTTTCACAATAGCCCTGTTATTATTACCTTTTGCAAATTTCTCACTTTTGAGGAGATGTAAAAGTGAGACTAATAACTAGTCTGTTTCACTGTTCACTTCATTTTCTGGTTCACAATGTAATATTTGGGTTGTAAAGAAATTCATCCTTAAATAGCTCACGTAATTTTAGTATTTGAATGTTACTCCAACGGAATATTTATTTCTAAAATGTGTGGTTCCCACTATCCCTCTCTGACTAATCATGGAAACTTTTCCAGACACATTAATAAAAGCTTGTTTCCCCAAAACTTAAATTTGGCATGACATTTGACTTAACTGTATCCTGTTAAAGACAGGGTGTAGAGAAGAGATGGAAGAAATGGTTGGGGCTAGCATTTCCTCCCCCTCATTCTCCCGAAGACAGTCTCATCTCAAAACACCAACACAGGTATCTAACAGCTAAAGAGATGGATATGGCTAGAATGTGAGCTCCTCACATTCAAATTATGATCAGATGATGTCAAGCCATTCAAGAGTATGTGTTTTACATTCAACAGGTAGAAATCACTGACCAGCTTCTACAGGCAGCTTGTTGGATGGTAACAAGGTGACTCTGATCCTGGGGCGGGATGGGTGGAAGAGAAAGTTCATTAAGATTAAATGTGGTTGTAATAAGGAGAAACTCTCTCAGATGTGGAACCTGGTAATCTTGAATAGTTGCTAAGGAGACAAAGTGTTTGATTAGTTAAAGATCTTGGCGAGATGGATGGTAATACTTCATGCCAAATGTGACGTTCCTCTTCAGTTATTATGATAATGTGCCTGTGATCTTAGTGAGAACTCTGCTGGCAACATGCCTAGTAAATCTGTCTAGATCATTAGCATGGAGCTGCATAAACTAAAGACTGGCCAAAGGAAATATCATGCCTAGGCCCCTCCCTCCCATTACACAGGAAAGGAAACATTTAATCTGAAACTCACTATGGACTCATTGCACACTAATTCTATTAAGTTAATTTTTAAACAACAGATGTCATTAGGAATCCCCATTCTAATCTTGAAGCCCAAGACAAATTCATCTGAGATACACTTGTCCACACCTGATGATATCTTCACAATAACTTGAGGACCAACAAAATGCTCATCACATTGTCATGTTTTTTATTCTATCTGTAAAAACGAGGATGAAAAAGGGAAAGATGCAAGAAGGCTACTGTAAATACAAAACCTACATCTTGTGAATTACAGTAATAGACCAATCTCTTTGGTTCTAATGAGGATTTTATTTAGTGATAGCAAAACTTTGTCTAGAATTAGTCTGGAGGCCATGATCTGATGAACTGATCTTTCAATTACATCTAATTATTTTTACTTGGTTTAAAAATTAAGTGTATTATTTGGGGGGAGGGAGATTTTAATTTAAATTGGTTATGGAGCGCTAATAAGCCAATAGATACTTCACTGGAAGGAATCAGATTTGCTTGAAATGCAAACATTATCTTAAAGCAGCATTGGTGGATAGATTAAACCAGGGCTACTCACAGCCCTGGGGGCCACAATGATACTCACAGCAAATGCTGAGGGCCGCAACTTAAATATGGTTGCATATACATACAAATATATATGCAAATAGCTTCTTTCACACTGACAAGCATGAATACAAAGATTAAGGCAAGACAACACAACATACAGGCCCCATTTAAGTCAGTTCTGCGGATATTAATAAAATACAATATTTACCCGATTTCTACCCATATGACAGCACTTTTGATGAGCAATGACAGTCCAGGAATTTAACTACTAAAATGCATATCAACACAAGATGACCATTATATTGACTTTTTTGTTTTGGCTCCCAGCTGTGAGCTGCATGCAGCCCACGGGCCACATGTTGAGTAGCCCTGGATTAGATGGATTCCCTGACACTTCCTTCAACCTGACTATCCATGAAATCATTGTTCCACTTTATAAAAATGGATTTTGTGAATATCAAGGATTAGACCAGCAATGGGCAACCTAGGCTAGTGAGTGGGCTGTTCAAGTGGCCCTCCATCTCAGTGAGCCACAAGATTGTCAGAACCAAGATTGTCCAATCTCTTGGACTAAGGTAGTTTTGTTAACTGCACTTTTGCACCTAGAATTTGCAGGGTGGGCTGACTGAACCATAACAGCGCTTTGATTGGATGCAGAGGAAGCGCATGGCCCTCACAGTCAATGTTATGGGCAATCAGCATATGCCTCACTTTGCCTTTGTTTTACGTGCGTGTCACATTAGTAATACTGGTAGGAACAAAACTACACATCTGGAAACCAGCGGAATCTGGAAACCCTGCAGGTGGGCAACAGTGAACAAAATGTCTCACAGGCCACACACAGAATGGGTAACCTAGGCTAGCGAGGGCCGCACGTGGCTCATGGGTTCAGGTTGCCCACCACTGGATTAGAATACATTTACTGTAGTTTTTGTGTCTAAGGAAGTCCTCAAGTGATGCATCTCCTGTGTTCTACCCAGTTTTCCAGCTGTATGGACTGAAACCTTTGGTTCAAGTAACTTGCACAAAATCTCGAAGAGTCTGTTTTTCAAGCCATGATCTTGCGAAGTGCCAAGTAACTTGAAAGAAGCATTTGGGCCCTGAACTCCTGGTGATATTGATGGGAATTGAGGTGGCACAAAATATCACAGGACTGAACCTTCAGCTATGGGCCTGTATTGGCAATCTTGCTCCCACTGTGGGCACAGACAAGATGAACTTGTTGATGTCTTTCCACTTCTTGTTTCTGTCAGCCTGTAAAATATGGTACCTACAATTTAACATGGTTTTATTTATATGGTCCACTTTTTAATACTGGGCAAACTAAATTTGGTAAAGTGATAATAAAGCTACTAGGAAACTACCCAAGTGAATAACTGAAACAGGTATTTGGAAACAAAAGACCATATCTAATTGTAATAAATACTTAAATGTCAAGGGGTTCGTACCTTTTATTTTTTGCTATTACAAACAATTTTGCTAGTGTTTCACTCAGAACTTACATCCATCTAAATTATTTTGCTATTTAGTAGTATTCTGATTTACCAGAGTAATTTAATAGAAAAAAGAGCCTAATTTAATTCAGAATGGTTCACACGAAGTCAATTTGTTATATCAGAAAAGGGCTGAAGTTCCAATTTTCAAACTCAAGACAAGATTAAAGAGATTTACAGCAGGTTTCAAGCTAGTAATAAGGATGGATTGCTTTTACTCTAGTTGATTGGTTTAGATATAGTAGCTAGGATTATGAACAGAGGTATCCTTAAACTTTGAATATCACACTGGCACTTGGATTAGCACTGTTGGTATTAAACCATACATTCTTTTTTAGATCTATGGGATAGCTAAATATAGAGCAACCAACAAATGAACAAAAACCAGCCCCATACAACAGTTGTATAGCTATTCCACCCAATAATGCAGTGTGTGTGCCTTGTTTTGTGATTGTTAGGGCATTCTACTGTGACTAAATTTAAACTGAAGAGTTTAGATGGGTCACTTAAACCTGGTTATGAAAGATAAAAGATTAATCATTACTTTACAGCTGCAGTGGCTCTTTACAGGTTATAAGCATGTTCATGTAAGTCTCCTGCCTGCAGTCAATCAATTCTATATCCGTCACACTGTATTTAAGAAATGTGTCAGTAGATATAGTCTGAGATCTAAACATGTCTACATATTAAATCATAATATAAAACATCTGAAAAGGGTTTCGGGGTTTTTTGTTTTTTATTTCAGATGCTTTTACACAGAGGAATCTCTCACATGAGATGAAATAATGCTTCACAATGTTGTTTCAAGGAAAAGGGTGGTTTGAAGGTTTTGCATATGACAAGAATTCTATTGCTTTGAGGGGATAGTGAAGTCTATCTACAGTAACTTGTGTAGCTCCCAGAAATCCTTGAAATCTGAATTTGTATCAGAACATCTCACCAGAAAAACTTCAACAATTATCGGTTTTGTGTTCTCTTTTTTTATTTATGAAGTGACCAAAAGCATCATATTAAAAGCCCTGATCCTGTGGAGATGATGAGCATCCGGTCTTCCCACTGACAGTACTCAACACCTAACAGGACCAAGCTCACAGTAAACTGATTAAAAGCAAACTTTATACAAAGTTTATACAAAATTACCTTTTTTGTTTCAGATTAACAGGTCTCCTAAAATAGGATTCAACTGTCTAAACATCTGTTACTGGTGATTAGACAGAAAAAAAACCCATGATACATTTCATAGCTAAAAGATTTATATTAATTCTGTTAACATTTTGCTATATTACTATAATACATTGACCTATTAATCCTGTATGTGCTACTGAGTGTTTTCTTTTTTTAATATGCGTGAAAAGGGGACAATCTCTACACAGAGCGGTATGAACTTTCAGAAGACTAGTTTATACACTAGGCTTCCATGAAAGCTTTTCCATTATTGGCCCTGGATTTAACCCCAATCTTCTGATTCCAAATTTAGCAGGGTTGAGTATATACTATGAAATACATGGAAAAATACTTCAATTTCAACACAATAAAACTCATAAAGTAAATACCTTATCAATGGCTTTTCCAACTCGAGAAACGCTGCTGTGAATGTCTTTATGATCTGAGGCCAATTTTTGAACTGTGTCTTTTATTCTTTTACAGCACTGTGTCATAACAAGTGAAATTGTCCCTGACAAGTCTCCATCTTGGTCTAGGCAGAAGACAAGAAAATTAATTACAAACTTTATTATAAACAAATGATCGTCCTAAATCCATCCAAAAGATCTGAAAATAATAAAAGGTGGAAATTGTAGTGGAAGAATGAAGAGCTCTGAAACAACCAAAGGCAAAAGCCAATCTAGAAACTATAGGCAAAGCAACTTCAGCTAAATTCAATTTTAAAACAAGTAAAACCAATGGATTTGGGACAACATTATGAAGCTGCCTATCCTATTTTTGCTATGGAAAGTATTTTAAATTGCTGAATTCATAGTTATTGATAAATAGGACTTTCTAGTGTGGGCCCCCACCACTATATTTACCTGCATGGTCACAGGTACTTGCAATTGCAGCTCCTATTGGCCACGGGTTGCCTTTCCCGGCCAATGGGAGCTGCAGGAAGCGGTGTCCTGATCTGCACCACTTCCCGTGCTCCCATTGTTCAGGAATGGAAATCTGTAGCCGACAGGGGCTGAGATGACCGGTACTTGCGACCATGGAGATGAATATAGCGACAGCAGTCCACCAAAGGCTTAACCTGGTACACAACTGCCGTATTATTGCCCAAACCTATTATAGGGCTTTACATCAGAAGATCTCAAACACTAACATTAAACAAACCTTCCTCACTGAGGTACCATTTCTTCCCTCACCATAGGATAAGCTTTCATTTGTGCAGTTCTTTGAGGATGTACTAGTGCTAGGTATCACGTTATTGCATTCACAGGCACACAGAGTCCAGGATTAAAACATAAAGGCCTAATTCATTGTTGCCCCACATTTTGTATAGCTATTTATACCAGTGCAAAATGCTACCTCTCTGATTTGGTAGCACATTACGTTCAAACAAAGTGAAAAGCAATAACAATTTGGGTCCTAAGTCTCCTGTCTCCCAATCTCATGTCTAATTAACTAAGCCAACAGATCTCAAACACTGATTCAAGGAACAGAGGTGGTCCACAAAGATCTGACTTGTCAAATGGTGCTATATTTCCTCACTTTCAGTTCCTAAATCATGTGACAGTTAAAAAACACATTGTTCCTTTCCAGATTGATACAATGGAAAAGTATTGTTTCAGTAGTTGCCACAGGAATGTTATGGAAATACGAGTGGGATGGAAGGAAGCATGCTCTCTATCTTCTTATTATTACATTACTATATATTTTAGAGATGTCCATGTCTGTCTGATTGTCCATCTATGAGTCCATTTGTTCAAGAACTCCTCCCAATCGGTAAAAGCGAGGACCACAAAATTTGGTAGGCAGCTTCCTCTTATCTTAACTTAAAGCAAGGTCAGGGGTTGGATGTGCCAGGATAATGGGATGTGCCTGGAATTCAACTGTTTCTTATAAAATGAAAGGGAGGGATCTAGTAGGAGTGAGTTATACTGTGGAATGACCTCAGAGGGGCAGCAAAGGGCCAGAGATGGGGACCAGCACAGCTCTAACCTCACTGGGCCAGCAGGGAGCAGGGGTGGAGAAAGGGGCAGCTATCTACTTCTTCTACAGATTTCAGAGAATTTGTCTGTGTGTCTGTTCGTGCCCCAACTATAGCTGCTGGAGATGCAGCAGCAATGGAGAGCTGCTTCTCACCTACCCCCATGCTTCTGTGGTGATTGAGAGCAGTTTTGTTCTCTTTTTGGGGCAGCCTGCATACTGAACTCGCCAGCCCCGCCCCAGAACAATGACTAAAATGAAGAAAAACAAAACTTATTTGAGTTAAGGACACAAGCAGTACCTGGTAAAATAATAAACATGAAAATGTTTGAGAACCCCTAACCTAAATTCCAGTATCTGCCAGACAACTCACACCTTCTATGCTTCGGTGTCCCTAGAGGTAAAACAGTTATGATTGGAAAAATGGACTTTTTCTCTTCAGTCTTCTTCTTCTGTCCTACTTTCTTTCAACTTTTGGTTCTCAGATTCAAGAATTCTTTCTCCTCTAGTCTTGTTTCAGAATCTATTTGCTAATGAGACGATTTTTGTCATCACTGCTTCTCCCCAAATAATTCTACAGGTCACACCCTTCAATCAGGCACACACACTCAACTCTGTGTTAAAATATCCCTCAAGTAACGTACATAGCAACTGCTGAAGTGAACAACCAGTCCAAAAATGGTTTTCCTAACTGACCTACCTATAAATTCTTCCCAGGTGAAATAGTTAAAAAGATGAGATCCTAAAAGTTCCAGTGTTATAAAAACAAGGTTCTAAAAACAGCCTTAATCGCCATTATTTTCATGTTCTGTGTCTTGAATTACTGTTTGTTGAAACAAATCATTACACAACCAGTTTCTCTTTTGATAATTCAGGCATTACAAAATGTGGAACAAACTGTCATCACAGGACCGGCAAATATGGGGAGAGGAGAAACAAAGTATAACTACCATAATGTACTGTCCCGAACTTTATGCCCTATAGTCTCTCATAAATTGTGTGAAAGAAATCAAGGAAGTCTCACAACAGAAGTGTACCTGGTATAAATTTACAGCTCCTTATTCCATACACCTGCTTTGAAGTACAGGAGACCCTTATGATTTGCAGAATCACTATCTGCGGTACCAGCCCCCATGGTGAGCTCCCTGTGGCTACTGGGAGCCATGGTGAGTGTGGGGGCCACCAGGAGCTCACTGTGGGAGCCAGGAGCCACAGTGAACTCACCATAGCTCCCCAGCAGGTATAGTGAGCTGGGAGCCACAGTGAGTTCCCCACAGCTTCCACACCCAGCAATGAGTTTGAAAGCCATGGGGAGCTCACCACGGGGGCCAGGAGCTGTGGTCCCCAGTAGTCAGATTTCATCATTTGCAGTGGTGCCAGGAATGCATCCACCACAAATGGCAAGGGTTTCCTATATCTCAAACATATCTGTCTATTTTGCTGACAAAGCAATCTTCTTCTACCAATTCAGCTCCAGAAAAGCAAGCCCCCATTCCATCTCATGAGTTATCTAGATTGCATGCTAAGTTCTAGTTGCAGATTCTTTATTAATAGCACAGTTTAAAGTTGCATCTTTGCTATGACCATAACAATCATGTTTCCCCTTTTCTTCATAAAGCCACAATCTTTGCCATCAAGGCACAGACCTACTAATACTCCATATTCTTCCTAGTGAATGAATATGGAGTAACAAAAGAGAACCAGTCTCAAATTTGACTCTGGGCCCACAAAGTAGGGATCATGATTATTGGAATGGCTTTAAACTATCAGATGAATATTATTAATTGTTTTAATTGTTATTATAAAGTAAGGGATATCTGCTTCTTCAATTTTCCATGATACATCATTAAAGTACTATGTCATGACTTAAAACAAACAACTCCCATCTGGCATAAAAATCATGACTTTTGCTATCACAAACAACCAGCCTTGGAGATTATACAGAAAAATCATTTCACTCATCAATACTTCCTTATCAACATTCACTAAAGTCAGACTAGTCCTTTCTGGCCTTAAAAATCTATTAATCTGAAATTGAAAGGGTGATGTCAACTTAAAAAAAAAAAAAGAGTAGTTTTCAAAGTAAAAGTAGTTTCAGCTATTATACTACACCTGTCCTCAAACCTCTGTTCCCATCAATGACTGTAATTTCACAATTTCCCTAAATTAAAAAAAAATCCCTCCTCTATTGTCAGAAAAAAAAACCACACACACACACACACACAAAATGTGAAAACTGATTATAGAGAAACAAGGACAACGTTGACATACAAAATGCTATCAGCCACACAAAAAAAAGACAGAAGGAAAAAGATTCACTCCTCATACCTTACAGATACAGGTATTTTGGACAGTATTTGAAACAAATAACATGTTAAAAAAATGCCAACAGAAATTGGTATCCCGTTAATAATTCAATGTTTATGGACAGCAACAGTCTGACACTTATCACATCATCATGGATGTATAATTACGATTTAGGATAAGAGAATACCAGACCCATACACAGGAATTTCTGGGAGGGGGGTGTTTTTTTTTTTTTAAATGTGGACCACAAGGGTGTGAATTCACTACCCTATGGTCCCCCAAGTAAGCGTGCTCTGGCTGGGGGGGAGGGGGAAGGACGGAGTGGTGCATTGCCCCAGACTCCCTCCCTCATGCTCCAGCTAGTGCGGGAAAAGGCTGGGACTGATTTCCCACCCCCTTCCCCAGGAGCAAGGCCCAGGCCCACCCCCAGCCTACCTTCTGGGGGGGGGGTGTGTGTGTGTGTGAAGGGAATCTCCCCCAGCCGGCTGGAGCACGGGGGAGGGAGGCTGGAGCAATGTGCTCTCCTACCTTCCGAAGCCTGGCCTGAATCAGTCCCATGGGGGACCACAGAGGATCATGGGAGGGAGCTTTCACACCCTTCGCACTTCCCCTGCATAGAGGCCTCAATACACACATTACTGATCATGCACCAGGATAAAGAGAAGCAGTCAAAGTCAAGCTTTCTACCAAGGCACTCCTACCACAAATAAAGATCAAGCATAGCAATTACTGTGGTAAGCTACAAAATACTATAGGAGAGCAGTACTCAACCAGAGGTATGCATACCCCAAGGGTATTCAGAGATGTTTCAGGAGGTATATCAACTCATCTAGGGGTATGTCTACACTAGCCCCCTAGTTCGAACTAGGGTGGCTAATGTAGGCATTCGAACTTGCAAATGAAGCCCAGGATTTAAATATCACGGGCTTCATTTGCATGTTCCCGGGCGGGCGCCATTTTTAAATCCCCTTAGTTCGAACTAGGGGGCTAGTGTAGACATACCTCTAGATATTTGCCTCATTTTACAACAGGCTACATAAAAAACACTACTGAAGTTAGTGCAAAGTAAAATTTCATACAATTTTTGTTTATACTGTTCTATATGATATACCCTGAAATATAAGTACAATAATTATATTCCGATTGATTATATGGTAAAAATGAGAAAGTAAGCACATGTTCAATAATAGTGTCTTGTGTCACTTTCATATTTTTGTCTGATTTTGTGAGTAAGTAGTTTTTAAGGGAGGTGGAACTTGGGGGTACACAAGACAAATCAGACTTCTGAAAGAGGTACAGGAATCTAGCAAGATTGAGAACCCCTGTAAGAAGAGAGAGAAACTTCCCTAAGAGCAGCCTAGTGAGGGTGAAGATTCACTATCTTCTTTGAGAAGTCATTGCTCCTATTTTCAGTATTCTACTCATGGCTTTATACCTGAGCACTCGTAATCAAATCTAAATAAAAACCCAAAAAGGGCTTAAGAAACTATAGGAGAGGGAAGAGAGGACAGTTGAAATCATGTTCAATATACAAATTTTACTTCCTTTTCTCCACGCATTTGCTTTTTGCGCATACTGTCCATTAAGGGTCAAATGCTGTAATGACTATCACACATCTCATTAACTTCAGTTAGGTTTTTTACATGGGTCAAGTGACTCTGCAGATAGGCTTTTGGATTGTAAACTCTGGAGGGGCAGACACCTGACTGCTTAATTTTTTAAGATATTCTGGGTACAGTGAATCTGATTTTCAAAGGTACTGGGCAACCAGTTTCCAGAGACTTTGGTGGAAGCTGCAGGGCTTAGTTCTCCTGAAAAACAGGCCCTCTATAAGATAGTAATACATTAATAATAAGAAGAACAAAGCTTTAACAACAGTATGTTCTATTTTAAAAGTTGTATCTCAGTAGTGAAAATGAAATTAGAATTTTCACTATCCAAAAAGGCAGACTTATAATGTCCCCAAGCAGTCTGAAACTGCATAGAAAACACCCCTCCTATTATTCCAGAGTGTTTACTAAGCAATTGCAATATTCACATTTGGTTGATACGGAGGGAGATATTGCTCATTCGTTAAGTACCAGCAACATGCATGGCCCTTTACAGATATGAAAAAGTAGCACCAGCCTAAAACTATCCTGCTAAAGATCTAGAAAAGAGGCACAGTGGGGATACACACAGAAGAGAATAAGGATATACAAAAGCCTTTTGTTTTGTTAGAGAAAAATGACCCGGATCCCACAACAGGATCCTTGTAGGCTGACTTTTCTAGCTAAGCAGAATCCCACTGAGGTCAATGAGACCCTCTGCAAGCAGAAGAGTCATATCACACAACTCTCCTTGCAAAATCAGAATCCCAATTTACAATACATATTTTACTGATTGCCATACAATACAGTTTGACTAAGTGGCCAGCACTTTGTATGTTAAAAGACAAAGATACTTTTGAATTGTGGACTGATAAAAAGGTGCAAAAGGAAGTGATATAACCTTTTTAGCTGCTTCAACAACTTGAAAAAAATACAAGGGACTATTAAAAAATGTGCTTCCAAAGAGTAAGATTCTTTAAAGAATTAAATTCTAAGGGGTAGTGCCACTAGGAACTTCTGATCCAGCAACCCTTTAAAAATGTGCAGCAGGAACAAGTTTTGGCAGATGATTAACAGCTGTTTAAGAGCTTCTCACAGTATGAAGACTCTACTGTCTATATTGGACTCCTACAAATAACCAAACTATAAGATCATCAGAACAAGGTCTGCTCATAGTCGCTCTGTAAACTGCCATATAAAAATAACACTTCTGATCCTGCCAACATTAACTTCACTCAAATGCGGAATCCCACTGACATCAATGCAAGTAAAGTTACACAGCTGTATTTGCACAGGACTAGAACAAATACACACCACACTTGGAAATAAACAAAAGTGGATTCTAGAGATCAAAGATAGTATAGATCACCAATACATACAGGACTGGGAGCCTGGAACTCCCAGATTCTACTCCCATATCTATCACTCACCTTCTCTATGGCACTGGGTAAATCACATTGTTTGTCTCACCACTCCACCTCCTTCCATGAAGAAATACTAAGTTTCTTCTTACCTCTCACAGATTTTACAAGATTTATGTACTTTGTGTTTATAAACGGCTGCCATGGTGTACAACGCTCCAAAAGTACTAAATATTATTTGCAAATACAATACTTAGGGGGCTATATTTATCTTCAGCTGAAGCCCCATTATGTTTACCAAAATAGTTTCGACCTAACCACATCAAAGGCAACAAACTCAGTGACCCAGAAAATCCAACAAACCTGTTGTTTACGTCATCTTGTCGGGCTGTTATGACTGCTTTCAATAGCAGTGACTAATTCCATTATTACTCAATGCAAAGGAATAAAGATATAAACATATTGACCAATATAAAGATGGCACAGCAGAACCCACTGACCAAGAGTAAACACTTGTATTCATTAACGAATAAACAGGCATGTTCAAAATGGACCAATCTTCGTCCCAATTCAACACCCACAACCAGAAGTGCTAGCCTCCTCCATCACCCAAATAAGAATCTGTCTATGGCATGCTATCATTAGAACCATGGTCGCAACAAAATGGTTTACGTTCAGAGCATAGCAGAGATGTGCGCAGTTTCCCCGAAGGAGCACAAAGAGTGATTATTTTAACTGATCTTGGAAACAGAAAAATTGCCCGGTCCAAGCAGTATGCAGAAATTGGTCTAATAAAAGATATTACCTCATCCACCTTGTCTCCGCAAGTCAGGAAAGCCCTGTTAGGACCCCACACTACTAACAGTAACAACGGTGCTCAAATACTCTGGTTAGCATGCTGTTAACTGTAAGGTGTTGCCATGGTCTAAATTTAAACACGCTTGTAACTTCTTCACTACAGTGTTATGACTCAAGTTACAAGAGCATTTAATACCACCTAATGCCACCTAAGAAACTGTAAACAGAGGCTTGCTCCCCTTTACAAAAAATTGTATAGGCAAGAAAGGAAGACAATGAAAAAAAGGAAGTTTGTCCAAAGACGGTTTACTTTAACTTTTCTATGTTATGACTGGTTAGGAATTTTCCCCCTTTTACACTCTGTTTATGAAATCACTATTTTATTTTCCTTGAGTGTTTAAAAATCACAGAGAACAGCTGCAGGGTGATGGGACCAGGAAGGAGAAGGAAGACATGGCAGCTCAGAGGAGTTGTTCCAAATAGGGAAGGGGTGATGGTGGTAGGAATGATGGTGAAAGAGGCTGCTGAGACTGGGAAAAGGGGGGCCTAAGAAGCCAGATTGGAGCATCTGGGGGGAGGGGACCCAGGGACTCTGAGTCTCTGTGGAAAGAGGGGATGTGAGCCTCCTGAGGGGACACACAACATGGAGCTCCAAGGCTTATTGCAGATACAGCTGGGAGCAAAGGGAAGGGGCCCGAAGAGCTGAGATGGGGGAAGGGGGGCTCGTTCGGGCAGGTGCCTGAGAAACTGGGATCAGTGAGGACAAATGGAAGTCATGCAGACAGGATTTAGGAGAGTCTGGGGGGTGCAAATGAAA